TTCCTGATAGGCTACAACTCCCAGCACCCTGAATCATTGTCTGTGCTGGCTAGGGCATTTGAGAAATACACTTCCACCAAAAGCCAGAAGGCTGCTGGTCTCCCACCGTTGCAATATAATAACTGTACAGAATAGACTAGTTAGGTTGCTGCAGTGCTCACTATTCAACAGCTGACATATAAGAACAGCCCATGTTTAATGGAATTTGATACCTGACATCCAATCAGTGTTTGACAGTGTCTAACAGCTGACATGCATTAATAGCCTGCATTTGATAGCTAAACATACACAAACTATGAGAGAATAACAGAATGCTGTACATGGGAAAAGGTAATATTCTGTTGAAACAGAATAATCTGCAAGATATAATAATAAATATACAGGTACTTGTGTAAAAATTAAATCTCTTGAGAAATACTCATGCTACAAATTATGACTCAATTTTTGACATAGCACCAAGAATCAAGGATACTGCAGAAGGGAATCACTGGTATTGAGATTTTGACACATGCCTTATTTTATGTAGGATTTCTGCCCCCCTCTAGCAAATTAACAACTTTTCACATTGATGGGGGTTATTCATTTGTTACTCCTACAGCATATCTAAGAACACAGGAGCTATGTAAGCTTCTACCAGACTCACAAAAAATTATTCAGATATTTCTTGCATATAATCTTTCTGACATTGCGTGAACTTGTAGCAACATTTGCTGTTATGATAAAGAATCCAGTGGCATCTTAAAGACAGCATATTTATTGTGTCAGGTGTATTCAAACTTCATAATAAAATAACAGATCATAACTAACAATGCTATACCATGCATGTTTACTGTTGTTGTTGCTTGCCAAGTTGCTTCCAACTGAAGGCAACTCTTTAAATTAAGAAGCTCCCAAAGGGCTTACGCTTAACACCTCTGCTGGGGTCTTACAAACTAAAGGCTGTCGCATCCTTTCTCTGTCTGCTCAGAAGTAATGCTTATTTTGTTTATTTAAGCTTCCTCCCAGGCAAATGAGCATATAGAATTTCAGTTCAGAGTAATAAAATAACCAGATCAGAGTAAGAAAATGAACAAAAAGAAGAAGGGACTCCTTGATAAAAAGACATCTGAACAGCATAAGCAAACCTGTTCAATTAAAAGATCTTGCTCCACATTCTCACCCTTTAAGCTAGGGCTGGCCCTGTCACTTGCCAAAGTGAGGCAGTTTCCTCAGACAACATATGCTGGGAGCAGCATCATGGTTGTAGAGGAGAGAACTGAGTGTTCTTTGTGGCCTGTCCTGAACTTTCTGAATGAACTTGCTGGCTTAAAGGAGGACACTGTCCTACTGCCAGTGTTGTAAAAAGATTCAACTACCATTCCATTCAGCTTTTCTACATGGGACGGAAGAAGGTGCAATTTAATTATTTACCTCAAGCTGCAAATAGCTTAGTAAAGCAGAGCCTCCCTTGATGACTCTGTTGTGTGAACAAGTCCATGGGGGAAGAAGAAAATTCTTTAGGTTTCCAGCTCAAATGGTTTTATGTCAAAATTAGCACTTTGATTAGGAATTAATTCCCCCTTAACATTGTATAATCAAATAATCGGGTTCTTCTTTCTGCCTTGCTGCTCCATTTTGCTCTGACTGCATTGTCCTCCAGGCAGACTGCAAAATTATCCTCATGGGATTACAGTACTGTGTAATCTGGAGGTAATCAAGGCATGAGTAAATACAGCAAGATCAGAAAAGAATGACATTGTCCTTGAAAACAATACTTCCTGTCTGTTTACATCTATCTGAATGTAAAAGAACTGGTTGCTTGCCAGCACAGTTGCAAAACTCCAAACAAAATGAAATGTCTTGTAAGGGTTTTTGCCAACTCCCACTTGGTGTACATGTGCCTTATTTATTGTAAACTCATTTTAAATTTCACTTGAAACTGAACAAAGACATTAAATTTACAATCACATTCCAGCATCTCTGAGTAAGAGTGCCTTATCTGGAGTTGACTGACTTTCCATTAACAGTTTTGGATATAGGAATAAAATTATATATTCCAGAGTAGGGAAGTAGAGAAACATCTTCATATTATTTGGAGGGGAAATTAGTACCTTTCATGTGAATGTACCATGAATGAACAATGTCCCAAGAGATAACGGCAGCATTTGTGAAGGCATTAGCAAAGCAAGGCCAGCACAAGACACTTTGCTGTCTGAAGCAAAAGGCAGAATGGCCTTCTCATGCCATGTGCAGATGTTGATCAGGCTGGCAGTTGAACCTTACACTGGCAATGAAAAAGAATCTTCTACTACTATACATGAGAACAGCAGGCTAGGTTGGAGAGAAAGGGAAACCTGATTCTTGTTCTCAAAGAAAAGAAATGGTTGAGGGTTCAAGAAGAACTACTGCTGTTTTCCTAGAATCTTCCACTTAAAAGAGTTGATTCACTTTGCCAAATGGTAGAGCTTGCCCTGTTATAAAATATATTTATTTTCAGACATAGGTCAGATACTTAAAAAATCCACCTGGTCCACATCTGCTGCCATTTAGCATCTAAAGAACTGCTAGTTTACCCTTCTTTGATGTTTTAGCATCTTCTATAGCTTGTGCATGTTATGTGTTATATTCTCATCAAGGTTATAGTTCAATTTAATATTTTAACTGCTGAGTTATATGTTACAAGATGCATCACAAGAGCTTCTACTGGAAGGAAGCACACACACACAGCTATTTTCTGCACATCTTGTGTAAGTATATCCCTAATACACCTACTTTAGAATGTCCTGCTTGAGCTGTCTATATAGCTTGATGGTAGAGTGCATTTTTTACATTTACATATGACATTGTGAGGGTTCTTGTTTGAGCTCCCCCCCTCCAATGTACCCCTTTTCACAGATACAACGGACATTGGGTCTAGTTTCAAAAATTCAATTTTTACTTCTGGAGCAGTCAAAGAACTATTTACAATAGCTAATGGCTCAACTTTCTCTTTGTCAAGGGAGAGAGGAACTGGTTCAGAATTTGAAACACAGAATTGTCCATAGCCCCCAAGTTTCTGAGAGTCACATCCTTAAAATTTGCTGGGTTCTTCCTGTAGTGACAACAGCAACAGATGCAATGTTTCCTCTCCTCAGCCCTTCTTTCTCTCATGATAGTCTCTCTGAGGATGTCATTGCCCACCATCTTGTGGATGAGGCCCCCATAAACTGTCTGAGTTCTCCATGTAGGTGCTTCACAATTCTCTCTCTTTCTATCCGGGCTTGTTCTTCTCTTATATTCCAACTCCACTTTCTACTTCCCCTTTCCCCCCAGTAAAAAGGTTTCCTGGGAGGAGGTGGGACAGGCGTTCCTTCTTCTGTCTGCCTGGTTATTTGGTATCATTAACATTTCCCACTTATGAGTCCATGGATTTTCCATCATCCCCATCCCCATCTTTTGTCTCTTTTCTTGTTTCCATGGCTCATGCTTCTACCTCCCCTCTCTGTGAACTTGTCCCCTATATACACTCGCCTCTTCCTCTTCTTTTCCAGCCCTTTTCTCCTTAATTCCTGCCTTTTCTGGTCTTCTCTCCCAGTTCTACTAAACAATCTTTCTTCCTCACACCACTCTCTCTTACCCCCATCTTGATTTCTTCTCTCCCCACAACAGGTGGCTTGTCTCTATCTTCTTTCATCCTCCTCCCACCTTGTGTCTCTGTGTTTCGTTCTCCCTTCCAAGGTAGAGGGGATGACAATTGGGTGGTATAGGGTGTTCTTCTGCCCTATCTCTCACAGACTTAGTAAATGGTAGGCTTACTCTCCATCTGGAACCTTGCCAGTCAGAGTAGTTCAGAGCTGAGGAACCAGTGGCCTTCCATTTGTTGTTGGACTTTAATCCAGTTAGCCCCAACAAGATCATACAATGGTGAGGGATCATGGAAATAAATTCACATCTGGAAGACTAAAGGTTTTCTAGCCCTGGAGCTAAGAATACTGAGCTAAATAGAAGGATCATTTACTCTTGTATAAGACCACTTCTTATGTTCCCATTGTTTTAATAATTGTGTGCAGTCAAGTCAATTCTATTTTAATAATTGTGTGCCGTCAAGTCAATTCTGACTTATGACAACCCTTTTCAGGGTTTTCCAGGTAGAGAGTGCTCAGAAGTAGTTCACCATTCCTTTCTTTTGGAAACATCCTGGGACTGTGTGACTTTGCCCAAGGCTGCAAGAGGGTGACTTTTCTTGGGACTGTGCGACTTTGCCCAAGGCTGCAAGAGGGTGACTATACTCGCAGGAGGCACAGTGGAGGCACAGTGGAGAATCGAACTCTCAAATCTGGCTGTGAAACATCCACAACCAGATGTCTAACTCACACAGCTATATTGTTTACCTAATATGCTTCTTCCATTTTAGTTCCTTCTCACCTTACAAATTACACTCTTCTACACACACTCCCAAAGCATACATATAATAATGTGCCACTGGAGGCAACTCTCAATGCACCTGATGGAGTGGGCTACAGTGCCAAAAAAACCCATAAAAAACCCCCATGTGCCAAATAAAGTTTGCTAATCTTGAAAATAGTATGAGACTTTTGTGTTGTTTTCACTGTGATGGACTAACACAGCTAGCCCTTGGAAATATTTCCGGAGTGATACCATTATTCAATACTACTGGATTGACATGAGATTCACAGCTGAAGACCAAGATACATGTTTTTTTTTAAAATGCAAGTTTTATTTATTAATTTGAAAATATTTCTGAAGCTTTATTATTATAGTTTTAAATCTTTGAGCAAGAGATTATATTGAAAACTACAGACTAAGCATATAAGTACGTACTATAGACAAATTTTTGCCCTCTAGTTTTTTTTTCTTCCACTCCTATCCATCTTTTAATTGGCTGACTTACCAAAAAAGTATGCCACTCACCCTGAACTTTGAATTGTGAAATGTTGAGGAGGGGGAGAAATCGCCTCTCAGTGGCTCCGCCCCCTCCGAGAGCTCTAGAATTATCAGAGGGTTCTGAGCAGTTGGGCTTTTTCAGTTTGAAGCCCTGATCCCAGTCTGTTGAGAGGTGTCAACTCTGTTGAGGCATCCGAGTGCCTCCCAGGTGTCCCAACAATCCCTCAGACTAACCCCTAAAAGGCTTCCATCTGATGGAGACTCTCACAGCCTCGTCAGTTTCCCGCAGGCCTCCAGTGCTCCAGTTCTTCAGAAACCTCTTTGGCGGCAGCAGGCGTGTCACACAAGAGGGTCAAACACCCAAGGCAAAAGTTCCCAAAGAAAAAGATGATCAGCTCCTGGAGCGTTCTGGGCAGGCTGAGAGTGAGGCGATGTTACTGGGCAAAAAGCTAATCACTACCAAGATTTCTCCCAGTGAGGTCCATGAGGGCATGATGGAGCAACACAGCAAAGGACCATCACTGCTGAAGGAAACAGCTTTTGAAAACACCACCCCGGCCTATGAGAATAAGCTTTCTGAGTTACTTAACTCAACTGAGTTAGAGGTGGGAGATGCTGATGGTTTTGCTGGCTCCATGATACATCAGCTGGTCCAGCATCCATGTGAAAAAGTCCTTGTCGCAGGAGCAGAAAAAGAAGAGTCTAGTGACAGTGAAACACTAGCAGAGTAAGTGTAGAGTCTGCAAAGCTGTGGTCATGTTCTGAGTACGGAGAAGGTTTAGGCTTTCAGTTGTGCCAGTAAGTTAAACAACAAAGAGTTCAGGGATACCTTACAGACTAATGATTTATTTCGAATCAGCTTTTGTGGGCTGTAGGCCACTACTTTCGATGCAAGGCACAGGATTGAAAAGGACCAACATCCAGTAGACTGCCAGCCTTCACTGTGGAAAATCTGAGATTGACTCCTCGAAGTTACATTAGACAACCAAGTTATTTCCTGCAGGAAATATTGGTACTTCATTTATCAGCAAAAGGAGTATGTCCTAGCTTAGCCCCCTCCTTTACTATGATAGTAAAATGTGTGATGATAACCTGTCACATTTTGTGAAGCCCTTTTATAGGCTTTTGTGTTAACTAGCCTCTGACTATTTCATAGGTACTAATTAGAAGTAGAGTGCTTATATGATTAATTATTATGATTAATAATTATATGATTATTCTGGCTACTAGTGGCCAAGAATGGCCCAAAAATAGTTTTGCCTTGTGTGAATTAGCCTGGGCAAAATCTTGTTGGTATAAATTTGCACCAGCATAACCAAGATCAGGTGCCAAAAGCATTAATTGAAAGTGGTGAAAGATTTTCAGTTCCACTTCTTTTAGGTTCTGATGCTTCCTGGGCCCCCTTTTGCTCTGACGAAGTATTTGGGAGTCTTGGGATTGGGAGAAGCCTGTAATAGTAAAAAATTGCCCCCAGATCAACAACGGACATCCCAATCATAGTGATTAAAAAACAACAACAATGAATAAAGGCTTCCCCTATGTTGCAAGACTATGAAAGTCTTCCTGAGGGCAAAAGGGAACCTCGGGAGCCTCAGAACTTAAAGGGAAGGGAATAGGGGGCTTTTCATTACTTTTAATTAAAAGCTTCTGGCATGTGATCCAGGTTACACTGGCACAAATTCATGCCAACAAGATTTTGTCCATTCTGTTGATCATGTGTGGACATGATCATGGCTAACCAAAGTTCACTGCATGAATTCTTACCTAGATTCATTAACAGTCAGTCAGAATTGCACAGGTTTCTCTTATTATCTGTGTGGCTAGCTGCCAACAAGGGAATAAAAATCCAGTGGAACCAGATTTAGCACATGTGCGCACATGCAGTCACTATTAATACAAATGTGTGAGCTGTGCATTGACCAGATGGAGGTCTGCCCTTACTGAGAACTATGTGGAAGTGGGTGGTAGCTTTTTTCAGGGTTCATTGAGCAAGACTATACAAGTTTGCTTGTCTTGGAGCTGCTGCCTTGTGAATGCGCCTGCCATTCCAGAGCAAATGCCAGCATTATTCCCTGCTCTTGTCCCAAGCTGCTGTAATCCTTACCGGAAAAACTGAAAATGAGTCACAAACGATCGTCTCAGAAAAGAGGGAATTATTTTCACAAAGCAAAGACACCTGGCAGTGCTCCAGAGCATTTTATCCTTAAGGCATTGTCACTAAGCCTGGTCCTTGCCCTAAGGCAATTTAAAGAAAATGCTGACCCTTCTGATCCTCTGAGTATGTTCAGACATCCTTCCCTCTTAGGGCAGGCATAGTCAGTGGCTCTCGAGATGTTTTTGGATTGCAGTTCCTATCATCCTCGACCACTGACTCTCCTGGCTGGGAGATGAGCTAACAGGAGCTGTAGTCTAAGAAGATCTGGCAGGGAATAGCTGCCCACCCCTGCCCTAAAGGGAAAAAGACTTCAGAACCTGCTCTGAAGGACTTAACCTGAGGTGTCAGCATTTTAACAAAACTTGGCAGTCCTACAGATTAATCCAGAAACTTCTCTGTGGCTTCTGAGCATGGAATTAATAGTCATGTGCAGTTGATCGTTCATAGTATTAGAAGTGGCTGAATATATATTTTTTACTGTCTGTAGCAATTGCACTAGGCCTTCCTTGCCAACAGAATTTCATAGTCCATTATTCCAAGAAATATATTGCAAAGGAGACTGACTATCAGGGCCTTTTAGAGAAAGATGAATGGTTTTGTTCAGTCAGTCAGTCAGAAGGCATGCCTTACAGTCAGTCTTCATCCATGGCAGTTGTTCTTTAAAAAAAAACCCTTACCAATTACAGATGGGCACAAGCCAGTGGTTCGGCAATTTCTCTTGGTTCGTTTATCATTGCAACAGGTGTTAAGCAGTTTAGCACTCTGTCCCGCTGGTGAGCACCCACTCAAAAGCAGCATCCAGAGGAGGCAGGGCCGAGAAGCCAGGACACTGCTTCCGAGTGGGCACCCACCTGAGGGGCCGGGGGACTGAACCGCCAAACATATCTTGTGGCGGTTGCCCATCTCTACTACCAATAGTTCTGGCTTTATTCTGCTTAACAAATCACTATGTTATTGTTAATGGAATAGTACAGTACTGGTAGCAGCAAGTGGATTTTTATTTTTTTTATTTATATCTCGCCTATCTGGTCGGTTAAAGTTCTGGCTTTATTCTGTTTAACAAATCAATATGTTAGTGTTAATGCAATAGTACAGTACTGGTAGCAGCAAGTGGAATTTGCCTACAAATATTAGGATGTGAAGAATGAATGTGGATTTCCATCCCTATGACAGATCAGAGCTCAGTGTGGTGACCCTTTCTTGTGTGGCTTGTTTTTAATCAAGCCCTTTATTCACTCATTGTAAATGCATAAGATAGTTTATTGTGGTCGTACATAATATTTATTTATTTAATTTATACCCCGTCCATTTAGACCCAAGTCTACTCTGGGCGGCTAACAATAAAAATAGCATAAAAGCAATATAATAAAACAGAGAACAACAATAGTAATATCATTCAAGATGGGGGAGAAGATAAAAATAATCAAGTGATGACTGAACGCCTGCCTAAAGAGCCAGGTCTTAAGTTGGCTCTTAAAAACATCCAGCGAGGGAGCCAGACAGATATCTGAAGGGAGACTGTTTCAAAGGCAAGGGGCCACTGCCGAGAAGGCCCGATTTCTTGTTCTTTCTCTCCTGGACTCCCTCGGCATTAGGCCCCCTCAGTGCCCTTCCTGGCTAGAATGAGTGATTCAAGTAGATCTAGGTGAGAGGATGCGTTCCACTAGATATCGAGGTCCTAAACCATTTAGAGCTTTATATGTCATTATTAACACTTTGAAATCAATGCAGAAATGAATGGGCAGCCAATGCAAGGCAGCCAGAGGGGGGGAAATATGCTGACATTTTCTCATCCCACTGAGAAGTCTGGCTGCCACATCTGCACCATTTGAAGCTTCTGCATCAATCTCAAAGGTAGCCCCATGTAGAGCGCATTGCAGTAGTCGAATCAATCTTGAGATTACAAGCTCATGGACCAAAGTGGTGAGGGCCCCAACATCAACATACACAGTTGGGCAATCCACCACAGATGGAAATAGGCAGAGCGGGCCACTGATGCTACCTGGGTTTCCATGGTGAGCGCTGGATCCAGATGGACCCCCAAGCTGCGAACCTCACTTTCATGGTGAGAGTCACTTCTCCAAAAGAGAGGGAGTTTCCCAAGCCACCAATGAAGGGGCCACCCACCCTCAGGACCTCCGTCTTGTCCGGGTTTAATACCATGCTATTTTGTATTGTATTGACCGTTTGTTTGTTTTGTTTTGTTCTCTTGGTTCTGTTTTGCTCATTTTAAATTCTTTCTTTCTTTTTAGTGTAATTTAAGTTTATATTGTTATGTTCAACATGCAAAAAATCAAAAGTAAAAAAAAGACTTTGTTTTGGATCTAGGGATGGGACCTCTCAGCTTCTGTGTGCAGATGATGGAGTCTCTATGGCTGCAGGAACTATAGCAGGTGTTAAGGACAGCAGTGCTGAGGAAGAAAGAGAATACCTTCTGAAAGGTGAGGGTTGAAAGGTGATCTCCACTGACTTACTTGGCAGCTGCTGTGCAATTATGTCACTTCCCAAATTACCAGTGTGATGTTATCAGTTTATGACTGAAGTAATCTGTATTTTCTCCGATGGCCCACCACGATGGCTAAGACTGGAAGTACAACCAGAGGCCTTCCTGTAGCACTATAATTGAAAGAGCCAATTTCTGTTGAAGTCAACTGGATTAAAACAGGGATCAGCTAGCTGATGTCATTCAAACCTTTTAGATGAATGTCAATTCATCACTCCATGAACACTTTGTGTATTTTGCAGAAGGACTGTTCTGCATGTCTGGATTATTTCACATGTCTCAGACAAGATAGAATTTTTCTCCTGATTTTTCTTGTACGTACATAGAGTAAAATTATTCCCTGTAACAGAAAGCATTGAAACTGTGTCACATGTTATTGTACTGTTGTTACCGCAAGGGCAAAAAAATGTAGAAACTTCCTGGTCACTCAATGGTGTGGCTTTTCTTTTAAACAGAAGATGTGCGAGCAGAACCTGCCAAAACGGAGTTATATCCTTGGAACAGACTCATCAATATGTACAAGCAGCGCCGGAGGCTTTCTTCTTCTAAACGGGTAATTATGTAATAGGAGATGATTTTGGAAAATATTTTTTTAAAAAAGTGACATTTTCATATTGCAAGTAGGAATGCAGATGTGATTCCAGTTGGGGAAGTGAAGGTAACAAAGTCACAGCTTGAGCTAACCTTTGTGGTAATGCATGCCCCATAATTAGTTCAGTGTAGATTTCATTAAGAATATAAGAAGAGATTAGAAATGGGCATGAGATGCTGAACACACACACACACAAAATGAACCAGCATCAACTGCTGGTTCGGTGGTTTGTGCCCATCTCTAGAAGAGATCAAAGGCATACCTAGTCTCATATTCTGTTCTGCAGTGACAAACCCAATGCCTATGAGAATCTCACATGCAGGACTTGAGTTCAATAACAACCTCCCAATCGTGTCCTCTAGCAAGTGGCATTCACAATTTTGCTGTCTCTGATACTACAGGTAGTTTATAATCAGCATGACAAGTGTTTGCTTGCCTGTCTGCTCGCCGGCTTGCCTGCCTGCTTGTTTGCATATTTATTTATTTATTTAGGCATTAGTAGCCTTATCCTTCACAAATTTATTCAACTCTTCATTAAAGTTGTTGAGGTCAATTATTGCTACTATATTATGCACTAATACAGTAGCGATGTCCATTTCCCTAGTTTAAAGTATATTTGGAGCTTTTTGATGTCCTTTTTTAAAGCCTCCATAAACAATTTGTTTTAGCCTTCATAAACAATTAGCAAACTTGGTCACAGTTTCCCACTAATTCCAGTTCACTAATGAACCAGTTAAAAGACACTAATTGAAATACAGATCCTTGGAGGAACACATTATTTATATCTCTCTTGGGAGAAATGCCCATTTATTCTTGCTTTCTTCATTCTGTTCTTTAACCAGTTAGTATTCCATTAAAAAAAAAGATTTCTCCTCTTATCAGATGGCAACTAAAGTTGTTGGGGAGTATTTGGAGGGGGGCTTTATCAAAAGTAGTGCTTGGAACATTATTTTTTTAAGCAATTGGTTGTATTCCTTGTTATTTCTTGAGAGCCAGACTGCCATATTCATTTTCATTCCTTTGATCACATAGCAATTTTTTGTGTTGCATATTATTAATACATTGTGCTGTCATTACTAGGCCAGAAAATCACAGGTAGATATTAGCTTTAGGGTCAATATTGATATCACATTTTGCAAACACAAAAAAGGCAAAAATCTAAGAATACTTCCCATGCAATTAGAACTGATAAGAAAATGGCATGAATTATTTTAAAAAATCTTATCAAAATGCCTTTTAAAATACACATAAAAGTAAAAATTGAAAGTGTTACCTGTCATGCTAAAAAAATATTGTTGTAAGTACTTGTTGTGTCACTTTTTCTGTTGCTGCTTCTTTTATTACTCATTACTCGAAAAGTAACTAGTTATAGGTAGCTGGTTACCTAGGAGCTCTGGGCAAAAGCATTTAGCAAGCTAACAGCAATACTTTGGAGTCAGAATGAAGGCCATCAGATATCAGTTCAGGCCACAGGGGATAAGAGTACTGTATTGTGTGATCAGTTTTCTGGATTTCCATGCTGCTCTGTAACTCAGTAATATATTAAAATCTAATCCTGGTTCTCCCAATCTTTCTTCACTTCAGAATGAAGTTCATTCCTTTAATTTAGGACACATGTACTTCTGAGTCATTTTATTTACTGCAAGAATTTGATAATTAGAAGTTGGACATTCTTGCAGATCTATTGCAAATCACCCAGACATTTCTCTCTCCAATAGATTCAGAACTCTCTCCTGCCCAGCCTTCTTCAGAGAACCTCCATCTAGAATCCTTCTTAACTCTTGTCACAGTGGCTCACACAGTGAGCTGTTGATTGTATGTATACCTAATAGGGCTATGTCTACAATGTGTTGACATTCCATATGTGTTAAATAATATTGGCAGAATAACAACAAAACAGCAGAGATACTTATACCCTGAAAAATGATGTGGCAAAACTAATGGCAGAATAATTCACAACTGACATTCACAGCTCCGCTGCCACTGAACTTGTTCATCTTTTATTTTTCCTGTAATTTGTAAAGAGAAAAAAATGGTTACCTGGAGACTGCTAGGAAGTCTAATAAATGGGTATGAAGTAGTTCTGACTGAGGGAAATGCTAAGCAGCCTGCTTGATGAATTTGTATTCAGATGAAAGCCTGAGCGAGGATTATTCTTGAAAAAAAAATGATGTTCCATTACAATTGAATAGGCAAGTCATTCTTTTAATGTGTGAACAACATATTTGCCACTGAGTTGTTAAGTTTATCTTGCCTCAAGCCATTGCTGCCATGCTTGTGCCACACTGCCAGTCTGAATGAGATGAGACAGCAGTTTGCTGTAGCCAGGGGCATGAAACCTTCACTGTGAACAGCCCTTAAATACTCTTAGTAAAAAGGCAGGCTATAGCTATTTCTAAAATAAACAGCAGACACAGCCTGGTAGTTGCACAGATTTCCCCCAAGGAATGAATCACCTTCTCCTAAAGCTGTCTCTTCCCCCCCCTCATTAAAAGCAGCTGTTAAAAGCTATTCCATGTTTCACTAAGCCCTCTATGCTATTGCATTAAGCACCGGAATAACTGTTCTCTGCCTCTGCTTTTTCTTCATTTGGTTTTTCTACTAGCCTCTGTGCTGACCATACCTGAAAATATCCCTTTGGCCAACCACTCTGCCTCACTCTCTTGTTATGCCATATTTATTTATGTTACTGTATTCCATGGTATAGACTGAGATGAGTTACTTTTGTCCCCAACTCCCAGAATTTCCCAGCCACTATGGGATTGTGGGAGAGTAGGTGTTGCCTGAAAAAAGCAACTTTTGAAAGCTAGGCACAGAAACTCAGAACAGCATTGCAGTTTTCGTAAATGTTACCTTGCCTTGCCCTTAAGGCAGAATATCTTCACTATCTAAGGATAAGTTTCCCTAATGTATGTATTGGCCTCAACTTTCATTCTTATATTAGATCTTACTTTATCTGATCCATGATGTGTTATCCAAAGTTGGCACCTGCATGTATAGACAAGAGATGTGTAAACCTTGGGATCAAAAGGCCATGAAGCTGGGACGAGGGGTGGTACAGTTTGTGACATTTCTATGCAATAGCTCAAGTGGGTACAAAAAAAGCACAATGACCTATCTTTTCAGTCTAATTTACTAGTAGGACCTTAGTTCTGACTGAGACTTCAACAGATTGCCAGAACATAAATAGAGATAGCCTAGTAGGGTTAACTTTATTTCAGTGCAGTCCTATGAATATATAAGCAGTAGGACTTCTGAATCGAGTGAGACTTACCCAAGTCAATCTGTTTAGGACTGCAGCCTCCATTATACTCTGTTAGAAGGAACAATTGGATAGAACGCTGCCTACATGTTTTTTCTTTACAAGCCCCAAAGACTTTTTTTAAAAAAGATAAATATATGAAATATGAAGATTCAGATAAGGGCCTAGAACATCCCTGCGGGAGTGAAGGCTCCCTGTGAGTACAGCCAGGCCACATATATAGCCAGCATTGTTTGAAATCTTAGAGCTGGGACGCTCTACCTGTAAGGAGCGCTTTCTAGGATCATGAAAGTTATCTTCCATTATGATGTCCTTTTATGCGCTTATATAATGGTGAAAATAAGAGACTTTGAAAATAGTCCATTGTCTTTGAACGCTATCGTTCTATTTTTGAACAAAACTTCGGCATATTATTTTGCCTTTCCTTTTTCTAAAGGAAATAAAACAAGACCCCTTTGTTGACTGTACTATTGAATCTTTTTAGCTCTCTTTGCTCTGGAGGCAAGGGCTTGCTCCTATGCTGTATTCCAATTCCATTTTAAATAGTAGCATCTTCTGCATTAAAGATGATGGCTAAACCTAGAAGAAAATGCATCCAGAATGTTCTGCTGCAGCCGTAATACCTCTTTGATAATTTTTAGTCTAGTAATTGGTGTGTATTGCAATGAAACACCCGGCATAGAGCCAATTCAAATATTCAGTTTAAGATTCAAAGTCTTTTGGTCTGAGAAGGGAAAAATAGAATTGAGGAAGCAATTTGAAAATGTCTGATGCACATGCAGAAGACCACCAATGCTGACTGAACAGCAGATATGAGTGCAACCAGGACAAATACATCAGGGAAACACCTCAGACGGGACCACCCCTACTGCTAGGTAGAGTGAAGTGACCACTTCAGGGGGCAGATGTGGAGGAAAGAAGCAGCTGCAAATCTTAGAGGGCAAAAATGTACTGGTTGCATGGCGTGCCCTGTGTCCATTACAACGGCTTGTTGTCCTCACATGTACAGCTGAAAACAGCATCCTGTCAGCAGTACAGAAGGTAAGAGTCCACTGCCAGTCTCTTCTGATTGAATATGGGGAATGAGAACAGGTGCCCTTCTGTCCTGTGCTACAAAATCAACATCTCTTGAGCCAGACTTGACCTCTTTATCTTTTTGTTGTAAAGGCTGTAAATGTTCGGCATTGTGACACACATGATTTGCGTTTTAATCTTCTAACTTGTGGTTAAAATCTCCTCCCCACCTTCCAAATCTCTGTGGTTGACAACAGTAAAACTGAACTGCAGACGTTAGATTCCACAGAGAATCAGGCTTCAGTTGTTGTTTGAAATGAAAATGCCATTCTTGAATTGTGTGTGTGAATCAACGGTTCTGTGCGTTGATGCAAGTTCAGGACATCACTAGCATCATGCAAACAGCACTAGATGTCGTCTTATATGATTCCTCTTCTGTGTTCTTCCTGCCCCCTTCTGCAGTCCCATGTCCAGCGTGTTCCAGCTCAGCCACTTATTGAAGAGGAAGCCACATTGGACCTAGTGGTATATGGAATCGCAGAACCTAAAGCTCATGTCACCTTATCAAATTCTGCCAAGATTCCCAGTGTCTGTGGGTACGTATCTCATGATGCTCTTCTGAAACAGTGCCTCCAAATGTAAAGATATAGTATGTTGAAATCTGGGGAGAAGAACAAAAAACTGCCATGTATTTCTATCTAGCTCTGAATGAGAATGTTTGCGGCCAGAGTTCTAGCCACCTGGGAGCCAGAGAGAACCTTCAGGGAAGAAGGAAGGAAGTCCTACTTTTTCTTTCCTACCATCCTGAAAGTGTCCCTTGCTGCGCATTATTGAGCTAAAGGGCTTGGATCCTGTGCCGGCTGTCTTCAGTGTGAACGCTCCCTTGCTATATGCTATAGTAAAGGTAAAGGTTCCCCTTGATCATTTATCCAGTCATGTCCAACTCTAGGGGGCGGTGCTCATCCCCTTCTCCAAGCCATAGAGCCAGTATTTGTCCAAAGAGAGTTTCCGTGGTCACGTGGCCAGCGTGACTAGACACGGAACGCTGTTACCTTCCCACCATGGTGGTACCTATTTATCTACTCACATTTTGCATTTTTTGCATGCTTTCGAACTACTAGGCTGGCAGGAGCTGGGACAAGTGACGGGAGCTCACTCCGTTGCGTGGATTCGATCTTATGACTGCAGGTCTTCTGACCTTGCAGCACAGAGGCTTCTGCGGTTTAACCCGCAGTGCCACCACATCCACCTGCTATATGCAATAGCTGACAGCATATAGCAGATCATGGGCTGGGCAGCTTTAGTGCAGCTGGGAGAAAATTATTTGTCCTCAGCACTCTCTGATGGCCACATCAGGCCTGAAAATGTTCTAACATATTTCTAAATACAGTGGTGCCTCGACTTACGAATGTCCCCACTTACGACCATTTTGAGTTACGACCAGCTCTGGCCGCAAAATTTACTCCTACTTGTGTCCGGAGCTTCCACTTATGAACAGAAAAAGCCAGGGGAAAAGGGCAGGGAATTCAAATTGCTAACTGTAGGTGGCGAAAGAGGCTGCTTCTTTGTAGCTCTTTCGCCCCAGCAGTTAGAGAGTGTGCCTGGTCATGGGAGGCTTGAGACTGCCTCCTTCTGCTTCTGAGAGCATGTGTGTGTGTTTGCGGTGAAGCTTCGGGCTGCCTTGTAAGGTAAGGTTCTGTTTCCTGCTTTTTAAAAACTGCTCTGGGTGTTTTTGCAGCATGATTTTGAGCTGGGGAGGTTATGTTTCTGTGTTGTGATGGGTCTTGGGGGGTTTGTTTGTTTTTTGTTTTCCCCCCATTTCTGATGGGTCTTGGGGG